ACAAACTAGGGCTGGGGATGTGGCTCTGTGGTTGAGTATCCCTGAGTTCAATCCCCAGTACCCCCACCTCCCACCCCCCACAAAAAAAATTAAAGTGACTATATGGTCCAGTTGAATAAATTACGTCTGTCTATATAATCTTTCTATCTAATGAAATACTATGCAGTTTTTAACTAAATGAGACCATTTTGTGTTTGCTGGCATGAGCAATGTAGAAAGGGGGAAAGGCTCAGAAGATTCCTTTTGTGTAGCAAAAAGGTCTCTGTGTAAATACATTTATTTGTGTTTGCAAATGCTTAGAAGCTGCATTGAGGATGCAAGCTGGGCTGCAGGCATTTGTTGTCTGAGGAATGAGATGTGGAGAGAGTGAGTCAGGTGAAGATAACCTTATGCTTCCTCTCATTTTACACCCTGATAAATTCGGACAAGCATGTATTCCTTATGTAATATAAAACTTCAAAGTGACCATTATGACAATTTTTATAGAGTCATAGGAAATGTTCAGAATTCTAAGTGATAAACAGGAGGTAATATCGAATTGTCAAAATAGTAAAAATTCATATGACAAATAAAAAGACCAGAATGCTCCCATATTATAATAGTTTGTGAATTGACGATGGAATTATAGGGAAATTTCTTTTTCTCCATTACCTCAATTTTCTGCAACCTGATTGCATGCCTTTTGCCAATTATAAAATAATTGAAACAGAATTAAGGATTGAGATGTGGTGAGGTGAGACCACGAAGGTCTCGCATACAAATTTTCTTGATTGACTTTGTGTGAAAATGAAAATTTTATGTATTGGCCAACAGTAGGTCAGTGAAGAGTAGACAAGAGTGATATGAAGCCCATAGCTGACCCAGAACCCAAGCCCTACATCTGTAACTATTATAAAACCAAGAGGAAATGTTCCAGAGGCCTGCGTCCTGGCTGCAAGGCTTACTGAGAGTTCTCAGTGAAACCTCCAGAGAACCAGCTTTTTATCTTAACAATTCTGAAATTATCTAAACCTTGCCTCAAGTCTATGCTGTCCTTAGTGATTTTTTCGGTTAGCCTCACAAACCATGGCCCTCATTTATTCCCCACAGCCCACCTCCCCCCCACTCACTCTTCCTCATAACCTTTCAAATCCTTACATGTGCCACCAAGAACTATCCCACTTTGACCTCCAACTCTCTTTTGAGTCTTCTCTCATTAATTCTTCCACTCTCCTGCTGTAATCAAACCCCACTTGCCTGCCAACCTTCCTCATCAAAGCTCTCAGAGGGAAGTTCTTCATTCTCTCCCATCATATCCATCAAGGCTGAGAGACAGGCCTACCCTTGCCTCCCAGGATACCACCACTTCCAGCCACTGTGACTCCCAAATCTATTTTCCTTCCAGCTGAATATTCCCTCCTGAACTCTAGATCCATATGCTCGATAGCTCTCTTAACAGATCTTCCACTGGGAGCTCTCACAGACACCTGGAAAACAAACCATCTCAAACCTGACCTTGATCATCTTTCCCTAAGTCCACTTCTCCTCTAGTGCTTTCCATTTAGAAGAAAACTGGGGATTCCCTTGATATATTCTTCTCCCTTGCTCCCACATCCAACCCATCACCAAATATTATAAAGTTTTAGCTTTTAAGTACTGGAGTCCAAGAATCTGGCTCATCTTTACTCCACCATCCAAGTCCATTATGTTATTTTTCTTTCAAGACTATTGCCTGGTTACCCCACGTCATCTCCCACCTGGCCTCTACATAGCTGTCCGCTATGTGCAGCATGTACATAAGATCACATTCTCCTTGAGCCTGCTCCACAGTAAGCCTTGGTTCCAACCAAGGCTCTAGCTCCTTAGTCAGTCCAACATGTTTTTTCATAATCTGCCTCTACTCCAGCCTCCTCCATACCCCCAAACATTCAAAGAGGAGACCAAGACAAATACAGTTCCTGTCCTAGAGTCATGAACAAGTAAACAAAATAACTACAGCCTGACAAGTGCTGTGATAGAAACGGACAGGTTCTGAGATGGAGACTGAGTGGGAAGAGCTGACCTCCTTGAGATGAGACAGGAAAGGCCTCAGGGAAGTGGTAACCGCTAATCTGACTCCCCAAGTGTGAAGAGGCGTCAGGCATTGTGAAATCAGAAAAATAAATAAATTTTCAAAAGAGTACTTTGGCACTTGAAAATGCTTAAGGCTGACATAGAGATAGAGAAAGAGATAAAAGAGCTATGAGGAGGAGAAAAGTGAAGTTGGAGAGTTATATGGGGTCCAGTAGCCATGATCAGGGAAAAAACTGGGTTTTATTTGAAGGACAAGGGGAAACCACAGCCCCCTCACTGGTTACACTCCAGTCCATGGGGGGCTCTCTCATGTCTTTAAATGGTTCAACAACCTTCCTAGCCTAGGTTTCAACCTTCCAAACATGGTGCTCTCTTTGCCTGGAAAGCTCATTTCTTCTTCTGTCATCTGGATAGTGCCAACACGTTCTTCAGGTCTCAGCTGAAATGCCACCTCATCCCAGTGGTCATGTCTGGCCTTCCAGCTGAGGTCAGGTCATGCTCTCTCATATCCCTCCATTTTTTTTTTTTTTTTTGGTGGCACCACAACAGAAATGAATTGATGGGGCTGTGTGCAGTGGCATACATCTGTAATCCCAGGGACTCAGGAGGCTGAGGTGGAGGACAGCAAGTTCAAAGCCTGCCTCAGCAACTTAATGAGGCCCTAAGCAATTTAGCAAGAGCCTGTCTCTAAATTAAAAAAAAAAAAAAAAGAAAAAAGAAAGGGGTGGGGGTATAGTTTACTGGGGATGTGGCTCAGTAGTTAAGCACCCCTGAGTTCAATCCCCAATACCAAAGGAAAAAGAAAGAAAGAAAGAAAGAAATTAATGGCATGTCTGTCTATAGCCTGCATATATTAAAAAAGATTTTGAATAGATGATAAATGCCTAAATTAATGAAAATTTGGCAAGCTTAGAGTTTCTTTGATCAAGGTTGACAACAACCCCTGAAACTTCCAGTTTTAGCTGAAAGAGCTTTGGAATCTACCTAAGACAAGCCACTTGGTTTACCAATAAAGGGTGAGGGCAGACAGGAGAAATCATGTGTCCGGAGTCACTGAGCCGCTCACCACCAGGACCCACTCTGGGTCAGGAGATAGACTCTCACATTTTTCCCACTGAACTCTGTGGCACTTGAATAAGGTCCTGAGGGAAGTGGATTTCTTGAGACAAACTTTTTCTGGCTGCTAATAACTGACTAGGAAAGGAAAACTAATGTAGGCAGCATTATTATTTCACTGATGGATTTAGTTACAGAGATTAAAGTGTCAGCTTGGTACAGTTCCAGCGTGTCTCTGGTTTGACGCTGGGTTTAGAGTGAAGGTAAAGACATCCAGAGCTGGCTCCTTGATGTGTTGGGTAGCAGTGTCCCATGGGTTTTTCTCTCAAAACTTTGGTTCACTTTGTCACGGTGGGTCTGGTTGGCTCCAGGGAGACCCACAGCTAGAAAGAATAACAGGGGCGTGCAGTTCAGGCCTGAGACCTGTTGGCACCAAAGTGTGGGAAAGGTTCTCACAAGACCTGCCCACAGTCAGCCTAGTCCAGACTGAGGTTATTAATCTTTCATGTCCCAAAACACTCAAGTCGCTGAGTTTTGAGAAGAAAAAATAACGGGGGATTGCAGGGAGGCAGTGTGGTAGAGTGAAAGAAGAGCAGAAGTTGACTTGGGAGATTGGACTCAAGTTCCACAGCTTGGACATCATCTCCTGGTTCAGTTCCTCACACCAGGAGATGATGTCCAAGCTGTCCACCAGCTTTAAGACTGGGTGGGAGTCGGTGGCTTCTGTCCAGCTCCATGAGTCGAACACATGCAGGCAGTGAGGGTAGTGCTTGTGATCATACGGACTTGGCACCTCAGTTTTCTCATGTGTAAAATGGGCCTAGGAGGGTTGTTCTGGCAATTATAAGGGACATTCTATTAAAACGACTAGCACATAATAAGTGCTCAGTAAGGGCCATCTATTGCTATTATTGTTTTCTGATACAGAAAAACATGCCCATAAAAGACACAGAGAGACAAATCTGGTCACTCACACACAAAAAAAGAAGAAAGATAATTCCCAAACTGACATCTGTATCCAAATGGTGTCAAAGGAAATTCTTGGTACTCAAGACTTAATAAATAAATGAGCAGGACCCAAAACAGTTCATACACCTGAATCTCACTTTAGACAAATTTATTACAAAGGCTGTAGTACGTATTTAGGTAAGAAGGCTCACAAAAGAACATTAGTGATTGTCTCTGGGAGGAGGCGATGCCCTGTGTGGTCTGTACTTTCTATTTAATTTCTTATTTGCCTGTTTATGTCTCTAAATTTGTTTGGCAAACATGTATTACTTTGTGAAAACAAAACAACATTTTTTGTATTAACAGAGAAAAAGGAGCAAAAAAACAATTTTGAAAATGGTTCTATATACGCTTATAGATTGTTCATCACCTGGGATCACAAGTCATGCTAATCTTGTGCCTTTTCACTTGGAAATTGTCCTTAACAATTCTTTCTGAGCTTCTAGTTGCAAAATAAAACAAAAAAGAAGGAGTGAAGTGTCAGTGGGAAATGAGAACATGAGGGCAGACATGATAATGATTGTTTGTTAAATGAATGAATAATGAATGAATGAATGAATGAAGGAGACAGTATTGCTGGTAGATTCTGTGGCATGACAACTGATTATACACAGTAAGATCTGTGCTTCTTAATATGCTCACAGTAGGTTCCAATTTTGTAGTAGAAACCACACACACACACACACACACACACACACACACACAGGTTTCCTCTGGTCTTAACAGCCTGTATGTACTAATGGAGTTATGTTTAGGGCAATATTTCAAATTCCATTGGCATTTGTCCCTACCTGCTTAACACAAAATCCCCTGAAAGTAACAAAGAAATGGATAATGAGAAAGTAGAAACAAACATACAAGAGAAATTATGTCCTGTTGTCTTTATTTTTTTCTCACTTGATTTCTAACATATCGAACTTTAAAATGTCTTCCAAAATAGACCTTTGGATAGACCATTACATCTTTGCTTCTTTGAAATCTGAAGATCACATGAGTGTGGGAGTCCATGTTTCCTTTCTCATACATTCATGTCCTTAGTCAGGCTCTTTCTGGAAGGGAATAAAGAGTCCTAAGCATTTTTGGTCTCCCAGAGCCCCAGGACAACACCGGACACATAAGATCTGAGAATACCTATACTTTTAATCTGGAAAAAAGGGTTCAAAAATTCTCTTGCCCTCTAACTTAGTGGGGTTTCTTGGAATCTCCAAAACTAGAAAATCATCCCAAGGCAAGTCTGGGGCCTGCTGCTCAAATGGGGCAGTTTTCTTTCCTCTGTACCCAATATTTACTAATTGAAATGGGATCTGAAAGCCTCCACTGGGAGTGCTCCAAACCATTTCTCTCACAGACTCTCAATCCTCTTTTCCCTCAGTAATCCAAGAAGGAGAGTGGATCACATTGAATTTAAAGATGTAATGAGTAAAAGAACATAAACCTCAAAGCACTTCTGGCTTTCAATACCTCATCCCATCTGAAATAATATTTTAATAGTGTTCTGAGAAAAAGAAACTGTGAAGATGAGTAAATGAAGAGTTGAATTAAGTACTTCTTCCTTTACTCACCTGGAGCATTTTGTTGGCTTTCTGCTACACATCTAGGAAAACCTAGAGACCCATGGGGCACTTTGGTGACAGACTCCCCTTTGCATTCTTCCTGACCCTCCAGTGCCCACTCCCCTCCACTTATCCCTGGGAGAGACCTGTCTTAGTGCATTAATGAAATCACTAACGTCTAGCAATGTGCACCCTAGTACCACTGTTTCTAGAATGACATTTATATTATACTCTGCCTCCTGTATCTTTCATGAGGGAGTTTTTATGTGTCACTAAAAAATACTGGATAACACTCTTTATTAGCCCCATGATACCCCAGCCCATCAATACTTGTCCAGGGCTGATGAGATCATGCTCTGGTTTTTAATCAGAGTGAAAGAGAACAAGAAATACCTTTATTAAAAAATCAATTAAAAACCAGTTGTCCTAGGTAAACAAAAAGCATCACCAGGGCATGAAAGGAGGCCTAGTCCTGAAATGCAGCGGCAGAGGCACTGCTGAGGAGGAGGCCACATTTAATGCTAGCTGCTATCATTATCACCTTTGTCATCATCCCTCTCTGCTCATCACTTTCCTTTTTGTATTTAGATTAAACCCTTTCCCTCAAACACGAAAAGTGGCCACTTACCATTCTCATGTGCTATGAATAATTTTTCATAGATGAGGGATGGATTTTTGCAGAACTCTCTATAGATGTATCCAGTCCTCAATCAACCCGGCCTTTAAGCAGGAAACCTGAGTGATGTTCCAGGGTGCTGCCGACCTCGGATTTCTGCTTCAGAAGTATGTGGGGTGATGGCTTAAAGTACCAATTTCAGGGTCTCATTTCCAAAGAATCCTTTGTAGTCATGCTGAGAAGAACCCAGAAATTTACATTTTAAGCAACCAATCCAGGAAGGACTCATGTAAAAATAAAGGCTGAGAACTTCTCCTATAGGAGTCATAATCTGCAGGCCTGACTTCCTTAGGGCAAAAAGTTCACCAGATGACAGCTACCAGAAGCTTAGGTCTTTCAACATAGTCACCTGTGTAGTCACTCACAAAACCTGGTCAAAACCTAGAATTCTTCCCCAAGGAAGTTCCCTCCTATGTCACCCCCTGCCCAGACAAGCACTGGTCTGACTTTCATTAGCAGTGGGTAGTTGTGCCCATTCTAGAACATTGTACAAATGGAACCAAAATCTGTTATGCCTTGATTCTTTTGCACAATATCATATCTGTGAGATGTCACAATACAATGAATATAGTGCTGGGCCACATTTAATGCTAGCTGCTAACATCATCTTCATCATCACTGATTTCATCCTTTGAAGTTTTTTTATTATTTTAATTTTCCACACAATCTGTAAAAATACTTTTTTAGTAGGTGACTGGTCTTCCTGTTAAAAGGTTCCACTATTTCAGGGGCAGCCTGGGACCTCAGACACAACATGGCCGGTTAACTTAAAAGCAAAATGGCTACCACACAGATGCCAATCACCAGAGCTTTGAGACTCTGATGACAACAATTTTATCATGAGTCCCTAGACAGCTAGGTCACAATTTTTATGTGGTTATTTCTGCTGAGTAAATAAATACTGGTTCATGAAGCTCATGAGTAATAAAACAGATTCCTTTAAATGGAGGAAGAGGCCATAAATAAGAAAAGAGTCCTAGTGTTCCTCAACTTCTAGAAAGCTGAAGATGGGATCATTGTGTTCCCTAATTGCATTCTATCTGGATGACATTTAGAATCAGTTATTGAGGAAAAATATCACAGGACACAAATATTAGTCTTCATTCATGCTTTGGTTCAACTAGTGCTCTTTATATGGGAATGTAGAAAGTAGAGAAAATAGTGTTAAATTGATTTTATTATTTATTGTATTTATTTTTGTCAAGAAATCTTTCAAAACTGGAAGTCCCTCCAGAGCAGATTTAAACCCTTTCCAGTAAAATTAAATCTGGGCCTAAAAAATATTTGTGGCATTAAGCTCTATTTAGTAAGGTAAATTCCCATGATAGAAAGCCCAGGATCAGATATTATGCTGTACTTGAAAAAAAAATAACATTCATATTAAATAGTTTGCCTTTGGAAGAAAACAGATAGCAAGAAACAAACAAACAGAAGTCCTGAAAAAGGACAACTTCTCATCACCATGTGGATGGCGATAGAAGAAAGTGGCTCACAGGGAAGAAAAAAATGTTTCATTTTTTACACAGTGAGCTAGGTATTGTTGATGAACACAGGGAAGAGGTAGGAGTCAGAAACCCACACAGGAACACTTGGAACAAACACTCTGAGGCTCAGTACTTACAAAGGGATTGGAAGAATCCCTTTGGTTTGCCTTATTACAACAGTGGGCATTTCTATTCATTAATTTGTTCAATAAATACTCAGTGCCAATTTTGTGCTAGATACTGTGCAAGTTTAATCTGGCTCTATCTTGAAAACAAAAAGAACCTCATTTTACTGCAGGTTGATATTCATACTAATTCAATGAGAAATTTGTTTTGGCTACATTTTTTAATTTGCAGGATTACTTCTTTCAAACAGACGAGAATATAGGGTTTTTGATTTGCATCTCATTCTTACCCATCTCTCACCACATTATGCTTTGTGTCTTATTGTGTCTTGTCTCCCTTATCATCTTGAACACAGGACTGGTCTTATTGGTCTTTGTCTTCCTGCTTAGCAAAGACCTGGGACCTAGAAATTACTCAAAAAATTCTTGAATGAAATGAGAAAGAACAGAGAGCACTTTTCTAATTTGCCTCATAAAAAGTGCTAACAGTTAATGGAAGGTGATTCAATTAGAATCACCCAGAGAGATTTTTAAATGCTCATTCTCCAGGAGTCCTTCAGAAATCCTAATGAGGTCTGGGGAGGGTCTCAGGAATGCAGGGGGTTACAAGCTCCCTTAGTGATCATCAGGCACACTTGGGAAACCACTGGAAAGTAAAATATTAGCCATAGAATATAAATTGGAAAAAAAGAAATGATGTTTCAGCCGGAGACTTATTCATCTGGACAATAAACATTGGCATCTAACATGCATTTTTAAAAAATTAAGTGAATGTTTCAGAGTCGGCTTCCTTTCCATAGTGTCATATCAGTAAGTCATGCTCCATGGCATGAAGGTCTGAAGCCCTACCTTCTGAGCTTGTTGGACCATAGTGGTCCATTGCTACAACTTCCATTTCCCTGTTTCAATTCCTGATGTAAATGAGGGCCATTCTGAGGTTGTCTGAGAGGTAAATTTACTGCCCATTGATTTTCACAAATCCTGTGGGTCCTGTGAAATCCTCTTAAATGAGTATCAGATACAGGAACAAAACTGGAAAATTGAATAGGAAATGCCATAGCTCAGAATGAAACACAAATGTTCATCTGTTCTGCTGAAAAACACAGGCCCAGTGTGATCTGGTATAAGCCCAGGCTGATTTGATAAACACATATTTTAAGGAAAAGCCTCAGACATGCCCCAATTATTGTAAAGATGTCCAGTTTAGAGTAGGACAAATGGGCAGTGACTCTAATTGGCTCCTTGGACAAATTCAAATTTTGAATAAGCAAAGTAAATCGTGAGATTGTTGTAGCAGCATTTAGTTGAAATTTCTTGCAAAAGCATTAATTAGTATCCTAAAACACAATATGGCTCCTCCTAGAACAGGTTACCAAGTGCCACTTGCTAGCTGATAAAGTCACAATGATGTACTATGATGCCTTTGTGGGTGAATGGTTGGCAACATGAGGCAATCACCTTTCTTCCCAGCCTCGAATGCAACAGGCTTTGTGTAAAATTTGCTTATTTGCATTTTAGTGCAATCGAACGCATTGTATATATCTGTTAGCATCTCCTCTGCTAGCTGTTAGAAGTATAAAGTGAAATGATCCATGTGTCTGACCATACAGAGTTTATAATCGGACAGAACAGTTGCCTAAAATAAATAACATCGTAAAGGTAGAATGTGTTAAGTCTCCAATTGTGGTATAGACCAGTGCTTATTAAACTTTAATGTGTATATGAATCTTGGGATCTTGTTATAAAGCAGCTTCTGATTCAATTGGTCCAACAGCCCAAGATTCTGCATTTCTAACAAGCTCCCAAGTGATGCTGGTGTGAGGATCACACTTTGAGCATTGAGGTATTAGACATCCAAGTGGAGATGGCCAGGAGATGACCAGGAATATGCCTTGAAATTCAGAAAAGGGGTACAGATAAAATCTGGGGTGTTACAAACATCTGGATGGCATTTAAAGCCTGTAGACTGGCTGAAGTCACTAAGAGAGGCTTGTGGAGAAAGAAGACCAAAAAGTGGAATGTGGAGAATATATTTCATGCATGCAAATTTTGCTGGATCTAAAGGCTCCTTTTGAGAGTAGTGAAAAACAGGAGAGCGAGGTTGGAATACAGTTGCAAAGGGACTTGAATACCATTTTACAGAATTTGGATTTGAAGAACAATTCTTGTTTTTGATGGTCCTAGGAGAATCTAGTAGTTCATGTAGTTGATGGCAGATGACATCAGCCTTACATAGTCCCGTCACCCAGTGCTCATACAAAGAGTCACATAAAACAAGTTAAGCCATAATGCTACTCTGGGGCTCTGATAATTCCATAAAACATTTAAGGAAAGCAATTTTGAGTGACTTTCTTAAAACTGCAAGCAAGTTATTCCTGTAACCAAGAGCAGACTATAAATATGACACATCTCTGTTTAGTAATTGCTTTATTTCGGATTAAGACTAGCAATTTTCTTGTCAGAGACAGGCATGAAGTAGAAAGGGAGTGGGGAAATTCATACAGCTTGGGCAGTTTTTGCAACTTGAAAGCCAATTTACAATTATTTTAACAGGGCAAATTCTGCATTAGCGCCAATTTTTTCCTCTGTGGTCTTTTTGGTTTGATGTTTTTTTAGGATTCAGAACTTTATTAACCATATTAATAACCTCTTGTGTGTTGTTATTCCCTTCTAAACTGGACTATCATAAGAGACTTCACGGGGGAGGCGAATGAGAAAATTGGGAAAATTGGATGTTGGTAATAGGTGCTCAGGATTTACCAACCCCATCTACCCTAGTCGTTGAAGCAAATGTGCAGATCCCCAGGACTGGGTTGGCTCTTTGTAACCAGCTAGAAGCCATGTGCTTATGTGCCTTTTATATCTTAACATGTGGGCCTCAATCCAATCTTACCCAGGGCACCCTCTGTGCACCCAGTGATTATATGATAAATATGATTAAATTGTTTCATTCACTGAAGACAACATTCACAATTCCACAATTCCTACCCATCCCCCCAACCAAAAATTTTCTGTCTATTCTATTCTTTTTCAGTATCACTTTTTTTTCAAGTCAGAGAATGTGCCAGGAGGGGAGAACAAAAGGGTACTTTGCCTTTAAAAAGTTCTATCTACATATAAAAATTGATACAAAAATGATGAAATGTTAACATTTGTTAATTTAACTTTCAGTACCAACTATTCTAGTGTTTGTTATATTCTTTGTTTTCCCTACTTTATTTTTGGGGTTCTGGGGATTGAACTCAGGGCCTTGTGTCTGCTAGGCAAGAGCTCCACCACTGAGCCATATCCCCAGTCTCCTGCTTTGTTATATTTCAACTGTTTTTCAAAGTAATAATAATTGTAAAATTATTCTTTGCTGAGAATCCAAGGTAAACAAGCATGCAGTACCAAGCTGTTTCCCTCTAACTTGTTTTCCTGCCTCCACTTGCCTGGAATCAGAATCCACGTCAAGAGATGATCAAAGAGGTAGTGATGAACTTTTTCACCTTAAACTTAAAACTGCTTTTGGTTATAATGATTCTTTTATAGTTAATGTTTTGCTTATTCACCTGCAATAAAATTCA